AGCCTCAGGACGATGTCATCCATATAATTTACTTGCTGAGGCCTAATCTCTGAGAGTGGGGAATTTGGGTACGAGTTTCGGAAGTGATGAACCTTGTCCAGCGGGCATCTCCGGTAATGGTTATAAGACAACGTCATGGATTAATGTGTGCTTCTTCTGCGCACTAGGATAGAATTCAAACCATTTTCCGAGCTTTACTTCCTGCACCACAAGGCAAATGGTAAGCGACTGTAGAGGCCATTCCTTACTTCCATAAAACTTAACTTACCTCCATAAACCTTACGCCTCTTATATATAGTGACTGTAACTCAAAAGCAAATTAAAAGGACGATTGATTTCAAAGTTTCTTCAGCTCCTGCTCTACTGACCTGATCATACGGACCAAAATGTCTTCAGAACGAATTGTTTTCATCTGGTATAGCGTATGAGACATTCTTTCACATTGTCCAACACATTATCCACGCCAAATGTCACACTAACATGAAATAATGTTCCAATTTGCCACCATCCTAATGGGATACCAAATAACTCCCAAAATTGCTGGGTCATAATCATAACTTGTCATGACAGGATATCCATGGATAGTAACCTGATCAATCACTTGTGTAGTTTGTACATTCATAACAGTCCTGCGAACACCCGACCGTATCGGTTTCATCTTCTGTGGCAAGCAGACCGCGACGTCGCTACGTTTGAAAAATGTCCTCGCCACGATCCAATATACTATGAGTAATGACAGGGGATCCCGTGCTGGAAATCAACAGTACAATCTACATTCGTCTCCACAATTGTTGTTCTGCCCTTCGTTACGAAAGTCGTTTCCTGCCTTGCAGGGTGGTTCTCAGCCGTGACAAAATCACCCAGCCTTTGTATGAGATTCTGATAGTGTGGGCTCCTGAATCTATCATCTCAACACACGGTGGTCTGCTCACGTAGGGATGTCAATGAGACGATTTTCATCTTAATCAAAACTTGTTGTCGTCGGGGACATCGCTAGTAATTACGTGTGGGTGCTCTACTCATCTCCTTGGGAGCACCGCGCCTCGGAGCGACACTTCATTAACTTGTTCACACGCAAATGAATTGTTTAACCCGGGAGCCAAACGCTCTCAACTTTCCATAAAAGTCGAGGTTTCCGCCAGGGGCATTCCGTGTATCACGGATATCAAATAGTGTTGGGAACGATCGGATGCACGAAACATCTCAGACGAATATATCAGTCTGCTAGCTTTCGACCGTAGCAACACCATGTAGCTCTTATGTCTTTTGAACTAACCATTTCGAGATTGAGAAGGGGTTTATAACAGAATAGGCCTGATACGAACATCCATAAGTCACTGAGTAAAGAGGCTCTTTTTTCTCCTTGACACGAACATCTTGATAGCTAGATTGTTAGCATCACGGGACTGACAGTTTGTGATCATGATGGTTTAGAAAAAGGTCGACCATGGCACAGAGATCATGGCATAAACTGTTCTGTTCCGGGATGCTGTCACAAATGTCCTGCAGGAAAGTTGGAAAACAAGGTCTATCTCTTCTTTTTGATTCCATGCAGACATGCTCTCGGTTGGATATATGGCCTGGGTGCATTCCAGGCACCATATGAGGAACGGCATATGGATTTTTCTGAGTTGGTAAATTCTCGCATTACCTCGAAAACAGAAAGCCGGATCATACATAAATTCCAGCTGGTTAGATACACCCAGGTACAGACTTGCACACTTGTGATGACCATGATCAATAATGATCGATATTGGAATGGTTGCTTTAAACTTAAAGATGGTTTTAGGGTCTGACCCTCTCTACAATATTTACGGTTCAGTTCCGTAGATCGATAAGTTCTATCGACGGGCTCCCATTTTCCAACCTAACAGTCAGCACAAATTCCGCCAGAGTCGATCCCAACATTTTATGTGATGTTATACAATGTAGAAGGGCACATTGTATAAACGTAATGATGTCTGCTTTCCGAGAAAAGGGTTACGACTTTTAAAGGTTACACGCTGAGCAATTAACCCCGAGACTGACTTCGCTGGATCAATCGTGAACGCCAAGTGACTAGGCTGAGTCAGATAACTGGTGATATCAGACGAGCTGAACTGGTCCGTCGATATTATAGTCAATAGTGAGCTCAGAACTAAATGTATAAGTTGACTGTTAGGTTGTTGGAGGAATGTAATGGTAGATGATGACTCAAGTCTGCCAATATGGAATCATAGTTAAAGAGGTCAGAGTGACTATCGTTTTCAATGAATGACTCCTATATCCTATATCGTGGAGTCATAAGCTAAGAGCAGCTGGTTTTAATGAATGAAAGACTTTAATTGTACGTTTATGCTCTGACAAGCTAAGTACAGGTCATGAATAAACAGGGAAAGCAATAACACTTAAACTATATATACATACTAACGTGATCTACTATCTACATGTTCAACTTATTCTCGCTTCTTGAGGCAGTTGTAGATGTGCGTACATATGGAGTTAATGATACTGGCTTGCATATCTTCTAGTGCATTGATAAATCGGCATTGATAAAGCCTTGGAGGTCCAGCTTCCCGTGCGATTGCACCTGCAGGAGGAAATTGGGTGCGGGAATTCCTGACTCCTCACCCCTGGCACAGGACCGAGCCGCGGAGATATCGGCGTCCTTTCAACCTCCTGCACATGTCAATACGTGGCTCGACATCCGATGTATCTATTTAATTAGCGGTTGACAGGCTGATCGCGCTGGATAAATCTTATCGCTGAGCGATCTATGCCCGTCTTCCAATTCGTTCCGAACTGTCTCATCCGCTTGGCGTGCTCGGAATGATACAAGATGGAGAGTTCAAACTGTACCTAGATCTGTGTCTAGATACGGGATTGCCGTCTAATCATGTGTTCGTATGTTTTCCAAGTGGATAGTGGTTTGAAAAAGTGAAGTACCAATTAAAGAAAAAGAACACTATTAGCATTTTTGTTCCTTCAATAAGCATTATTTATTTCAAACAAACACTAGATTAGGGAATATTTCGTATACTGCACGCCTTGTGCTGTTAGACGTTTCCCTCACTTGAATTAACAAAGTTCCGGTCCTTGTAAAATTCCCGTAAAAAGACTGCATTCCACAATATAAACACTGTTGCGAAATATGCTGAACACATAACCTAGCTTACCTCTAGATCTCCTGTCGTCTGTGTAGTTTTAAGCTAAAGATCTGAGTCCTTTTGTGAAATAAGCCCTGCCAGAAGGAGAAGACGCTAGGCTTTGCGTTTGCCTTTCCTAGCTCAAGGGAAATTGCGAACTGATCAGGCAGATTACCAAGTTACTCTCAGCGCTAGCACGGGAGGCACGGGAATATCTTAACGTGTGGTTTACCAGTGAAAGGAAGATGGAATCCCCACGTTTTGTCTTTTTTAGGGACAAGGCCATTTGCTCTTCGTTATAATTGCCATGTGAAGTATTTCCTGTGATCCATCACCGAGGCATTTTGATAATTGTAGAACCAGGTCGCCGTCACAGCCAGTGTGACGCCTGTACTGACGGTCAGGGGTTTAGGGGTTCCTGAAGGAAATCTTTTGGTGATCGATATGTGTTTATCCAGATTCTGAACTTCTGAATTACTTGTAGCTGTAATTCATTTCTAAAAAGCACGCGTTGGGTGTGTGTGGGTGGGGGGGGGGTTTCTTACTCAACTGTGTATCATAAGGAAATGTAAATATGTGACAATGATACATGGCAAAACGTTCTAAAATTCAAATTTTGAGCAGAAGTGGGGCGATGGAACCTATCCTGCAGGTTTTTACAGTCGTTAACATTTAAAAACTAACGATATAGTTATGCCTCACAGCGGCACTTTAGTCTCTGGTTGTGCGTCATTAAATATTCCATTGGCTCGTAGATTGACGTCATCCTCCTGCCATCCTGCCCTGTGATTGGTCCTCAGGTTACGACCCCCAAAAGCTGAAATGTCCTAAGAAATGCAAAAGCTTATCTTAAAACTGACAAACGACAAGATGTCGGGGTGTCGCTGCATATTGCCAGCCTGTTACCGCTGCCTTGATGCCATTTGCGGACGGATTGCATATGGCTACTTCCGGATACCTTTGTAACTTTTCTATTCCATCACTACTTTTCCCCATCCGTCGACTGAAAAGGTTACCTCACTCTCACCCTTCTCTCCTGTAATTCACGCCGAAAAAGCACTTCTGCCCAATACAACATTTAAAAGCCTGGCTTAGACAACAATTACGGTTCAAATGGTCCATCGTTCACGATCAAAGCTGACATAAATGATTCCCATCTTCTGACATGTACAGTGTGGAAGGCGCCATATGGCCCGTTTTACGCCGATTGAACGCGGCAGTTTCTGAAGTTAAAGCCATTCCCTCGTGGTCATCACCGTCTCTCAATGTACAGAAGTGAACGGGTCCAATCTTTCTTCACTAACCGTGCAAAGACATGCCCCATATTCAGGAAAATGTGGGTTTTCGTTTTGGAGTATTGTATAAGATGGCGGTGGAAATAAAACGTACATTCCCTCTGAAATGGTCGATTCCAATCTGTTCTTGGATAGAATAAAATTGCTAACTTTCTGATTGTGAAAATTGCCAACTAATTTCAATATCACTGAAGACATACACATGGAATAGGTCGTTTCTAGCCACGCATTGTTGTTGTTAGAGGAACATACTGTCAGAATAGTCGTGTTACATCATATGTAGCATACATTAATCACCATTCAAACTTTAGATCATAAATGGGTTGCCTTTGAACTGTTGTTACAGACTGCAAAATTGTTTCAATGACGACTTAAAACGCATATCATGACAGTTTAATTGGATCATGTTAATTAATAATTCTTGCATCACTCATGGTTACTGTTATCTTTCCCAGTGTCCATCGTCACTGAAGACAACTGGCCTCCGTTTCGCGGCTTCGCGCTGAAGGCCACGGCAAAGGATGATCCCGGGACGTTCGGCGGGAACTTCAGCGGGCCTCTGCCGGAGGGGACCCAGGCGATGGCGGGCTGCGGCTACATGAACGCCGTCACACACACAGACCGACAGGAGATGGTTCGGGTGGGCTTCCGATGGGCGGCCAGGAAGAACGACACAAAGTGTATCACATTCTGGTAAGATTGTCAAATACAATTTAAACGTAAGCTACCGGCACAGCAAGACAACAGACATTTAAGCCAACTTTCCGCAATATGTAATGAAGTATCAAAGGTGAGCAATATTTCAGTAGACTTTTACGACTTCGTAAAGGCCGCTGAAAGGCAAATTCCGTCTTTCCGTCACCTTTCAGTGCACTTAAATACAACGTAAACATATTTCATATATTTACGCTTTCTTTACTAATCCGTAAATACATGGGGGTTGCTGCATCTTGCAAAAGCTAAAAATCCGTTATGAATTCTACCCATAGAAGCATTCTACAAGTCATTCATAACTCGCTCCTACTGCCCACAAAGTATGCAACAGACCGTTCCTGTCAAACTTACCTACGCCGGTGCACCAACAAAACTTCTAGATCTGCGCAAGATGAAAACACATGATAAAACACCACATGCGCTTTGAAATGCCATCATATGGACGGCCAACGACGTGCTTCTTGTTCAACGACGTGTTCAAAGACAAGATGAAACATGCCGACTCTAAGACACGAACTTGTAAAGAGAAAGTACACCGTTGCCAGAGACTCCAGTACAGGGCTGCGTGCCAAAAAAGGGCAAATATCGAATGGCCCACAGCGTCTATCCAGAACTTGAAACATCGGCTCGTGTATCACCGGTGCCTTTAAATATTTATACACTTCATTCTTACCGGTTATGATTTCTGTAGGTTGACAATCAATAACCTGAGCCGAACAGATGGGACAACACATGATCCAGTCATGTATCAGGGACAGACAAGCCGGCAGAAGGGCGAAATTGGTGTGCGAGAGTTTTATAGTTGTGTTGGATGTTATTAGGCCGATGGGAGAAACAATCTATGAATATGTACATTATCATTCCGGTTATACACAAGAATTATAGTTTTACTGCACTTTGAATATTTATGCATGTATGGATTATTGCCACTATTGGCTGGTACACTCTCCAATCTGGATGGCTAGCCCCTCAACAAAATTTATTCCATGCCATATTCTCATTTTCTTTGCCGTGAGAGAAATAAAAAGCACGCGCATGACTTGCATATATTCCGGAAACATGTCCATCATGAGATACGTCTGTTACATATTGGACTGATGAGACCATATCGATGTGTAGAGGCCAAACCAGCATCCTCTTTCTCGTTGTGTTTCACCCATTATGTAGATTAAAATTTTGGCACGACCATGAGTGAGTTCAATCAGGTCTTGTTTGTCTTCTTGAGGGCCTCCCAGCTATTCAAAACACCCTAACCCCCGGATATAACATGCGCTGAAGCTGGGATAATGTCACTTCACAAGTAGAGTGATTTCCTCTGAAAGACGGATATTTGAGCCCTGGGTAAGTGAATACCAAATGGGACATGACGACAAAATATGTCGCTGGGCTTGATCATGATATTGCAATACATATCAAACTTGAAAGTTTTTTTTTTTTCAATAACACGGAAAGCGTCTCATAACTCTTGTTCGAAGTTTGATCTTACAGATTATTGGAACACTAGATCATCATGTTTGTTTGAGTTGGTGTGATCCTGAGGAAAGTTGCAGCAGTAATTGACTCATCCATACAGACACAAAGATTCAAACGTTCCGTTAATGTCTCTCCTACGTGTAAAACGCCATTCTTAGTGTCAGCTCACTATAAAACTGCCGTCTCCAGATCACCATTACCCTTTTGCAGTTTCCATTCATGTGGCATTTCGCAATTTATTGTCCAATCTATCGGGCATTTACAAGAGATTTAGGTTGATGTGTGCTCGGGTGATGTGTGCGTGGTTCGTTATCTACATCGACAGGAGTTTGAAACACATTTCGGCTGCAGTAAAAGGATGTTTACGGGTATACATGCTGCCTTACTTTACGTGGTGAACACGCGTTTATGCCGTGTGATGTTTTATATCCTGGCGGCAAAATAAGTGCAGCCCCACGGGATGCCTCTGCCCTGAATGTCTCGGTTTTTACATCTTGTTTTTCAGTTAGCGCCATCTCGTCTAGGAGATGTGGTCACAGCAGTTACCTTTTGTTGACTTCCCCAATTCAACTTCAGAAAAAAAATCATAAATCACCCAGCTTCAATCTGCCATTGGTATACAGAGTTAACTAGACTCTACAGTAAAACATTCTTTTCCTTTGTTTTAACACAATGCATTTAATGCTATTTCAGGGTAAAATTGGAAATATTCTGAATAAGGCAATCTGTATGATATGACACATACTGCCACACATGAGCACATATGCATCAGTATTTTATACTTTGGGCATTTAAAACCGCAAAAACAAGCCCCAAGATGAGTCCTTTATTTTCTGGGTGGTACCCCTAAATCAGCCCAGAATGCTACCAGTGACAGTTATTTGTCCCAATTTTCGGCTCGTGCTCAATTTATGTCAATATACAGTAGAATAGCGTTGTTTCAACTTAGTATGTAGAAAAGTGACTAGAACATTGATTTTGAAAAATGTGGTTTTCAAGCCCTAAAAACCGCACTGGGCACCTTTAATATCAGTCATTACACAGAAACTTTTCTTCATTCTCAAGAGGAGTTTATATCTCTTCAATTCCATCAGGAAATGGGTCGACAACATCATTCAGGAGTAGTTGATTGATACCGGTCTTTACAATGGGGTGTGGACAATAAAAACAGTGATGAGATTGAGCCACAGGCGCTGACGGCCCGCTATCAAAGCCCTTCTGTCCACATTCTATAGAAACGTTAAAGTGTGTTTAGATTGCATCCGCAGGTTGAAAGGTTTTTACGATAGAGAATCCCCGATAAAGTTTCACTCCAGTGGTGGAGGAGACTGCGGGAGGACAATGATAGAAGAGATCTCTCAATCGATAGCTTTTTTTTTTCCCGCCGGACGGCAGAAATAGCATAAAGGATGCTTTACTGGGCTCCAGAACGGCATTACGAGACTATAACCAGACTTGATACGAGCTGACGCCGTGAACACACATACTAAAGACTTCAATTTAGCTGTGATTGGTGACCTCAACTTGTTATATAGCCCGAGGCGTCTCTCGTACAAAGCAAAGGGTGGATTCTGGAACGCGTACAGATGTCAATTCATAACGGTATTCTGTATAACGTCTATTCATTTAGCTATCTTTTATTAGTTGGTCGGTTTGGATCAATATATTTGCAGATTGTTCCACATCTATCGAAGGAAGCTAGCAGATAGCCGGAATCACCATTACTAACATGTATTCATATTCAATTGTGGTCTGTGTTATTTCTGAGACAGGCTTTAATATAATACCTCTCGTCAGTCCCATATGAAAGGGAATCATTGACCATGAGGCCAGGTTAGATAAACCTGGCGTCTGCTCGAAACTTCTACTGAACAAGAAAGGTCACGTCAAATAGCAGGTTATCTCCCAAAATTGATAACGCGGACGGTTGTGTGGCAGTGCAGGTGCTTATTTAGGCTTAACGTCCTCCCATTCTACCACTACGGGTAATCTCTTCAACCTGGACTACTTCCAAATACATATGAGGAGCTCCGCCGCTGCCCGACTACACCATACGTTAACCCGTCAGATACCCAAAGTTTCGATTCATCTCTGGCAAACTTGTAATTCTTTCTGCCTATTTGGTTATAGAAATGCGTCAGCAAGCTCGTGGGTATTTTTTTTGCTACAGGTGACTACTTCTCAATCAGTCTCCATTGTTAGGCAGACGGTGTAGAACACATCACACTTGGATCACCACTAGAAGTGCACACCACGATAATTCGGGAAGAAATATAAGAGACGAGATAGATCCGATACCGCATACTTAAAGCAATAAATCCAAGTACCTTATATAACAGTAGATGAATTAATAATGGTCTAATGCAGGGTTTTGGAGGTAAAGTTGAGGGTCGTGTTTGGAAAGTCAAAAGATAACGCAAAGTTTGGGAAAATCTACAAAAATTGTGTTGAACCTGACTTACACTTTATACAGTTTAACTTGGGAGTGTCATAGGATTGACACAGTTTTTTGATAGAAAAGTGTTAGGGCATAAGTGGGATGATATACACTTTATACAGTTTAAACTTAAAAGTGTGTCATAGGATATACTGAAATACCTCTATCGTGCAGTATGATCTAGACCTCTCAATCTTTTGCCCCTCGAATCGCCACAGTACGGATTCGAACGCTTTGCCAAACTTGTACATTCTTACAGACGGTTTGGTGGCCACTTAAGGTCCATTACTCAACCTTCCGAACCATGGGCGCCTTCAGAACAAATGATGACAAATGTAGCGATTACTTTTCTCTTCAGGGATGATGGAGGGCTGGCGGCATACATTACCATGATCGATTGGATGATGTACAAGGAGTTATGGCTCTCAGCGTGCCGTGTATTTAACAGGGAACGGTCCCAGTAACATATCATTTGTCATACCAAACACCATATTGGCTCACTGACAGCTAACTTCTAAAGCTTCTAAAACTTGAGAGGTGAGTCAAAGAGAAAGAGAGCTCTTCTAGATGATTGATATCTTGTCCTGAATAATATAGTTTCCTTTAGACATACCGCAACTTCGCAACGGAAGAAAGGCGATTTCGATGCACCTTTTTTGTGTTCTGTCTACTGGTGTACACTTAGTTTGATTTCAACAAGCTTTTGTGAGCGTCTCCTTTTTGGCATCATATTTTGACATTGGTACGACACACAAAAATTTGAGCCACATTGTTAACCTAACTAGAAAATATATGAGTATCATTTTCTTTTACTTCTCAAGAGAGAAATGATGATAAACATAGTCACCTTTTGAGAGATTTTATTTCCTGTATTGCTCAAGCGAACTGCTCACATTGTAATTCAGCTCATATGTTGTAAAAGTCTCAGTGCTAATAAAATATAATTGGCCATCATTTTTTACAATTACAGAATTATTGGTATTGATGTAAGATTTGTGCGAATATTGTGTCGAAGATATTAAATTGCAGTTACACCGCGCAATAAAGACTGAGTACTGGCATTTCCAAA